ATTTTCTCTATCCATAGCGGTTTTCAAGATAATAGACAAAACTATCAGTTTACCCCTATATTCTACTTTTAGCCATGTCGGCCATCTTGGGTGAAAAGCGGGGTCATCAGACACATTTTTTTAAAACTAGATACCGTAATGATGATTGTGACCAAGTTTGGTTAGATTCGACCCAGTGGTTTCAGAGGAGAAAATTTTTGTAAAAGTTGACAACGATATAAAAAAATATAATGTACTATTTTATATCCGAACGATTCGATTAAGAATTTTACACATAAACACTCATCAAGATATACCAGACTAACAATTCAATACCCCGGAGGCGCGGTTTGCCCACAAGATTCATCAGTGGTGCCTGTAATCATAACAGTTGAAAAGCCAACTCAATTACAATAGTAAGAACTTTGTATCCCAAGAACTCAAAGTGTTATGCAAAAACAATAACCTGATTGCCATATTTTTATTTTTCTAGAATATTTTTATATCATTAAGATTTATTGTTTTAGTTCAAATTTTAGATACAGTGCTTAATCAAATATAGCAACTTCGATGTCTGTACAGTAATCAATCTCCTTCGCGGTTTGAATTGACTTTGGCATATATTGTACCCTGTTGTTATTAAAAAAAATAGATTTTGTTATGGTTGTTTTGTATGGTCTTTGTTCAGTTTTATATGGCTTTATAAACTTTCAAGAGTACAAATCTGCAGTTTTAATATAGCTTTTCGATATCGGCATAATTTAAATGATACATTTTGGCTGCATTTTCTGAAGCAAAACTAAGGTTGCACCTTCTTCATCATGTTGACAGTAGACAGTTTTGACCTATTCAGATTCAAGTATTTGGCTTCCTGAAGATGGTCTCTAGATGAAATAACACGTCGTGAAATATGTAAAAGAAAACAGTTGATACCAATTCTGTTCACACAACACATGTTTCTTGGTTGAAAGCCATTAATTTAACCCCCGGTTTTTGGTGGGGTTCAGTCAAGTTTTCTATGTTGTGTTTTTTATACTGTTGTTTGTCTTTTGGTCTTTTTCCTTTTTTGCCATAGCGTTGTCAGTTCATTTTCGACTTGAGTTTGAATGTTCCTGTGGTATCTTTCGCCTCTCTTTTGCTGCAAAATGTTTGGAAAGCCAAAAAAAAAAAGAACTTAAATAGAAAAGCCAAACCCGTTTACTTTACACTTTTCTAGAGGGACTTCAAACATCAGCTTAAGCACAATAACTTTGGTTACGGAAGAGAAAAGTTAAGGATAGTAAAGGCCCATATTTGGCCTGAAATAAGTTACAATTACTGATCTTCAATTTTCCTTAACATGACTAAGATAAAAATAAATATTTAAGAACGAATTTAAAGTTGGTCTTCGCACAGAATTTCTATAGGATTGGACTAAGTTGTTCCCTAAAACTACATCGACACATTTATTATATATCAACAATGTATTCTCTTTCATATCGTATCAATTGTGATATATAAATATCATAAGCATGTAAAGATGTCTCTAACAACTTGGTAAGTTTGTTTCTTCGAAATTGAAATTGTTTCATGATCATTTGTCATAGATTTTAGCACCAAGGTTGAAGCAAGGATTGTTTTTTTGTAGTTTCTTTGATCTCTAGAAATGGAGGGTCATAGATTGGATCCAATATGAGGAAACTGTATTCTTGATAGAAAGACTTCCGACGTCTGCCAGATGAAGAATGCATCTTTGTAAAGTGGACAACTGACCAAAATTCTAACACATTAGTGCTAGGCATAACATTTTCAGACTGACCAATCCACATGTGATTGAGGGCAGCTTCGTCTCGAGCCCTTCCAACCTCATTACCATAAATTTCTATGTATTGCCAATAATATATATAATCGTAAAAAGATATGTATACTGTGTAGGGTTTGCCTCTTTCAGCTAAGTATCCGAAATTTTTTATAAAGGGGATATTCAGAAATATACTTCTTTTTATTTTCTTTTTGACCAACAATATACAACATATTTTTTTATATATCATAAAAGACCATACTCTTCTGTTTCTCATAAAGTACTGTTGGAATTAGAGATGACACTAACTAGGTGCCCTGCATAACTTGTAATTACAAAAAAGATTAAGTTCCACACATGGAAAACCCTAGAAAAAAAAATGTGGATAGTGACGCTACCCAAATTTGAACTTGATCTGAGTTTTGTTGGTAATAAGCATTGTGTGTAAGTCGCATAACATTTGGTTGAGGCTAACTTAAGTAGAGAACAGAAACTAAAAATTCAGCAATTTTTCTATTTGTAAACACGCATAACTCTAGAACGGTTGTGTATAAGTTTTATAACTTAATCTGTATTATATAGTAATAAGCATTGTGTATAAGTTTCATAACATTTGGTTGATGCAAACTAAAGTTAGAAAACGGTAACAAAAAAATTGTACTTGATCTTAGTTTTGTGGTAATGAATATTGTGAATAGGTTTCACAATGTTTGGTTGGGGCAAACTTAAGTTACAGAATGGAAACTAAAAATTTTGCAATCTTTCGATTTATAAAGGGGCATAACTCAATAATGGTTTAAGTGACACTACCCAAATTCAACTTGATCTGTGTTTTATCAGTGGAATTCAAAATTAAACATTGCATTGTATTAAGCATTGATTGTAGTTGATTCAACTATAATCATGGACAAAGGAAGATAACTCCAATTTTAATAAAATGCTCCGCTGGGCGCAGCTTGATACGACCGCAGAGGTCGAACCCTGAACAGTTGGGGCAAGTATGGACACAACATTCAAGCTTGATACAGCTCTGATTTGGATTGTGATTAAATATTTGAAACATCATAGGTTTCTGACACAGAATGAATGTGGTCTAAGAACTTAAAAAAATTTAATTTACCTATTATGGTTCAATATCCAAAATCTAAATACATACAGGGTTAGATTCAGCATATCAAAGAACCCCAAGAATTACATTTTTGTTAAAATCAAACTAAGTTTAATTTTGGACCCTTTGGACCTTAATGTAGACTTATTTGAAAACGGGACCAAAAATTAAGAATCTAAATACACGGTTAGATTCAGCATATCAAAGAACCCCAATATTTCAATTTTTGATGAAATCAAACCATATCATTATTATTTGCTTTTATATATAAATCAAAAATAACCAACTTCAAATGGAAAATTGTAAAGAAAAAAAAAAGGGGAAAAAAGGAAAAAAAATCTCCCCCCCCCCCCAATTTTTTTTAAACCCTTATGATTCATCACCCCCAAACTCAATCCCAGCCTTCCCTTTGTGGTATGGTACCTTGCAGTACAATTTCAGACAGATCCATACACTTGAACAAAAGTTATTGTCTGGAAACTAAAAATGCTAGTTTTTTGGCCCCTTTTTGGACCCAAATTCCTAAACTTAAGGGCAATTACCCCCAAACTCAAACCCAGCTTTCCCTTTGTGATATGGAACCTTGTAGTACAATTTCAGAAAGATCCATACACTTACACACAAGTTATTGTCATGAAACTAGAAAAATGCTTGATTTTTGCCCCTAATTCCTTAAATTTTGAGGCAATTACCCCCAAAATCAATCCCAGCATTCCCTTTGTGATATGGAACCTTGTGGTACAATGTCAGAGAGATACATAAACTACACACAAGTTATGTCTGGAAGTAACAAAAATGCTTATTTTTGGCCCCTTTTTGGCCCTTAATTCCATAACTGTTGGTACCATAACACCCAAAATCAATCCAAACCTTCCTTTTGTGGTATTGAACCTTATGGTAAAATTTCATAGAGATCCTTTCACTTAAACTAAAGTTAGAGTGTGCGAAAACCAATGTGTCTTCAGACGACGACGACAATTTTTTGCAGTCGTATAAAAATTACTTGATATTTAGAAGAAAATAAAAATTTTGCAATTTTTCCATTTATAAAGGGGCATAACTCTAGAACGGTTAAAGTGACGCCACCAAAATTGAAAACTTGATCTGTGTTTTGTGGTAATAAGCATTGTGTATAAGTTTCATAACATATGGTTGAGGCAAACTTAAGTTAGAGAACGGAAACTAAAAATTTTGCAATTTTTCCATATATAAAGGGGCATAACTCTAGAACCGTTTAAGTGACGCCACCAAAACTCAAACTTGATCTGAGTTTTGTGGTAATAAGCATTGTGTATGAGTTTCATAACATTTAATTGAGGCAAACTTAAGTTAGAGAAGGGAAACTAAAAATTTTGCAATTTTTCCATTTATAAAGAGGCATAACTCTAGAACGGTTACAGTGACGCCACCAAAATTTGAACTTGATCTGTGTTTTGTGGTAATAAGCATTGTGTATAAGTTTCATAACATTTGGTTGAGGCAAACTCAAGTTAGAGAACGGAAACAAATTTTGGGACGTACATACAGATGGACGGACAAGGGTAAAATTTAATGCCCCCACCGCTACGGCGGGGGCATAAAAATCATTCAAATCTATCCAAATTAGGAGCTGTACATCATCAAGTGTGCAATCACTGTGACTAATGACGAAAATTTGACATATGACAAGAACTAGGTGCCCTCTATGTGTTTCTGATGGACAAATGATGTGACTAACGAAATAATTGAGTTTAACACTACTTTGAAAACCCATTGGTGGCCTTGGGTTGTTTTCTGCTCTTTGACACAATCCCCATGTCCATTCTCTATTCTACTAGCGTCTGTGATGACCCATTAAATAAACCAATTATTGTACAAAAACCTTCATCTGAGCACTTGAGCATAGAAATGTCATTGTTTGCTTGAGAAACTTGCATATAATTTATTTCCTGACAAAATGTTACAAGTATATTGCAGTTCTGTAGTGGTTTCCTGATAACACCTTAGTCTCAGTCTATCTTTCCTTAGTCTCAGTCCATCTTTTTCATTTCAGTGTTTCATGATTTTTCTGTATTTCTCAGGGGAAGACATATTCATACCTTAAATGCAATAAATTATCAACTTACAACAAACAGAAATACCAAAACGGTTAAACAGGTTTTAATATATTTATTTATTTATTCATTATTTAGTACATACTTTTTGAATTTACAGAGTAAAGTTGCATCTTGGATTGTATGCCCTAAAACTACTGATTTTATCAAGGATCATTATCTCATCATTATTTCATTATATTTACTCTTTTTTAATCTGTCTGTAAAATATATTGATCAAAAATGCTGTTTTAATGTTTCTTCTATGGTGTAACATATTCAATAATGATTGGTATACTTTATATAAAAAATCATTCCTTTTCAAGGAATTGAGAAAGAGAGGCAAAAGGAACCAAAGGGACATTCAAACTCATGACATAAGTCAAAAATAAACTGACGTCATGGCTTAAAAATAATAAAATGCTCCGCTGGGCGCAGCTTGATACAACCGCAGAGGTCAAACCCTGAACAGTTGGGGCAAGTATGGACACAACATTCAAGCTTGATACAGCACTGAATTTGGATTGTGATTAAATATTTGACACAGCATAGGTTTCTGACACAGAATGAACGTGGTCTAAGAACTTAAAAAATTTTAATTTACCTATTCAAATCTAATCATTATTATTTGCTTTTATATATAAATCAGAAATAACCAATTTAATATGGAAAATTTTAAAGAAAAAAAAGGAAAAAAAAATCCCTCCCCCAAATTTTTTGAACCCCCTTATGATTCATCAACCCCAAACTCAATCCCAGCCTTCCCTTTGTGGTATGGTACCTTGCAGTACAATTTCAGAGAGATCCATACACTTGAACACAAGTTATTGTCTGGAAACTAGAAAAATGCTTGTTTTTAGGCCCCTTTTTGGCCCCAAATTCCTAAACGTTTAGGGCAATTACCCACAAACTCAAACCCAGCTTTCCCTTTGTGATATGGAACCTTGTAGTACAATTTCATATAGATCCATACACTTACACACAAGTTATTGTCCTGAAACTAGAAAAATGCTTGTTTTTTGCCCCTTTTTGGCCCCTAATTCCAAAAATTTTGAGGCAATTACCCCCAAAATCAATCCCAGCCTTCCCTTTGTGGTATGGTACCTTGCAGTACAATTTCAGAGAGATCTATACACTTGAATACAAGTTATTGTCTGGAAACTAGAAAAATGCTTATTTTTGGCCCCTTATTCCTAAATGTTTTGGGCAATTACCCCCAAACTCAATTCCAGCTTTCCCTTTGTGATATGGAACCTTGTAGTACAATTTCAGAAAGATCCATACACTTACACACAAGTTATTGTCATGAAACTAGAAAAATGCTTGTTTTTGGCCCCTAATTCCTAAACTTTTGAGGCAATTACCCCCTAAATCAATCCCAGCATTCCCTTTGTGATATGGAACCTTGTGGTACAATGTCAGAGAGATCCATACACTAACACACAAGTTATGTCTGGAAGTTACAAAAATGCTTATTTTTGGCCCCTTTTTGGCCCCTAATTCCTTAACTGTTGGTACCATAACCCCCAAAATCGATCCCAACCTTTCTTTTGTGGTATTGAACCTTATGATAAAATTTCATAGAGATCCATTCACTTAAACTAAAGTTAGAGTGCGAAAACCAATGTGTCTTCGGACGAAGACGCCGGACTACGACAACGACGACGACGCCAACGTCATACCAATATACGACCGCAAATTTGTTTTGCGGCCGTATAAAAAGACCGACAGACAAACAACAGTACACAAAACACAACATAGAAAACTAAAGTCTGAGCAACAAGAACCCCACCAAAAACTGGGGGTGTTCATGTGCTACGGAAGTGTAAGCAGATTCTGCTCCACATGTGGCACCTATAGTGTTGCTCATGTAAGTACAAACCCGATGACAAGTCTAATTTGGTAGGTCACATTCGTGGAAAAGGGGATGGGATTGTAGTTACGACAACTGGAACATATCCGTCGTTATCTGTGAAACATACATTGAAAGATACATTTTTCAGGACTGAAACCTTAAAAGATTCCTAAAGAGTTTAAATGTATGATTGACAGCATACATATTGGAAGCAGATGATGGCAAGTGGTGTAAACAAGTAGTAAGTACAGTAACCGTAAACTCATGTAAATGAGGCGTCAACATCTAAAAGTAGCATAAATGTTGATGCCTGTTAATATCTAAAAAAAAAAAATTGCAATTGCTGATCATATTTTTTTGTTTTTCTATTTTTCATTGAACTTTCATGAAAAAAATTATGACTTTCATTGCTGTTTCTCTTCAGTAATACAATAATGATACTCTCATTCTCACACTACTATATTCAATGAAGGCTACAACAGGTATAATGATAAACAACAAAAGCTGCTCTTAGTAACATTCACATATCCATCTATCATACTTATGAAGTTCATATACCTTTCTATTTACTTCTCTCCTTTACAGACTTATAGAACTTTTCAAGTATAAAGCCTAGACATACTCGTACTGAAACAATAAAAGGGCTTTCCAAGAAGCCTTGCTCTCTACTACATCAAATTAAGCACAATTACACAGTATGCCACCTGTTCATTGTAAGGCTAGTTATTTAACACATTCATGTTCTTCCAATATCATTCATCACTAGAACTACTACTAGAGGAGTCACTTGACATAAATCCAACATCTTCATTTTCTTTGTTATGTCCCTTGATTTCTGATAAGATTCCTGAAGTAGAACTTAATGTGTGATGTAAGTCTGATGATTGCTGCCATGTTGTTGACTGTGATCCTGGACCATGGTCTGTAAGAAATTAAAAAAGAGATGTCAATTGTTGTAACAACAGAAAGTGAGACCTACCATTAACAGTTCAGATTTGATTCAATTTGGTACAAACCAAATATAAACTGTTAACACAGAGATATGTCTCGCCTATTTGTTATTTTGATAATGCAAATGTTGAAATTAAAATAGCAATACTTTAACATGTAAGTTATGCAAATATTCAAAGTCAATGAACCATGACTGAAGGTACAGGGCTAAACAACCTCCACAGAAATGAGATGTGCCAATGCTAATACAACTGCAATCCAAATAGCATTGACTTTTCATAAGTCCTTCCCTTTAAACAAACCTAACCACAAACATTAACTTGTAAACTATGTAAAAGTTTCAAAGTCAATGAACCATAATTAGGGGGTGGGGTTATATAATCTCCATGAAAATGCCAATACATTTGCATACTGAATATCATTGACTTAACATTAGTGGTTCATCTTAAACTGACCTAATCACAAACTTATACATGTAAACTAAGCAAAAGTTTCAAAGTCAATAGACCATGACTGAGGGGTAAGGACCAAATATTTTCCTTGGAAATAAGATGTGCTAATGCTTATACAACTGCATACCAATTATCATTGACCTACCAATAACAGTTCCCCTTTAACTGACCTAATCACAATTTAATACATGAAAACTAAGCAAAAGTTTCAAAGTCAATAGACCATGAATGAGGGGGCAGGGCCAAATAATCTCCATGGAAATGAGATATGCCAATGCTTATACAACTGCATACCAATTATCATTGACCTACCAATAACAGTTCCCCTTAAACTGACCTAATCACAAACTAATACATGAAAACTAAGCAAAAGTTTCAAAGTCAATAGACCATGAATGAGGGGGCGGGGCCAAATAATCTCCATGGAAATGAGATATGCCAATGCTTATACAACTGCATACCAAATATCATTGACCTACCACTAGTGGTTCCCCATAAACTGACCTAATCACAAACTAATACATGTAAACTAAGCAAAGTTTCAAAGTCAATAGACCTTGACTGAGGGGGCGGGACCAAATAATCTCCATGGTAATGAGATGTGCCAATGCTAATACAACTGCATACCAAATATCATTGACCTACCACTAGTGGTTCACCATGAACTAGACCTAATCACAAACTAATACATTGTTGACGCCGCCATTGCCAATACCAGAAACAGCATACCTATGTCTCGCTTTTTGACTCCGTCAAGGCGAGACAAAAATGGATGACAACAGGTGCATACTTTATATGAATCCCTTTAAATAATGTTTTTAGCATATTCATGTTAAAAAATAAATAATTCACTTTTCTAAATTCTAAAAGGTGCTGGTTATGACCAATACCTAACTGTTACAATAAACAGTACATACTACTAAGTCTTTCAGTTCAGAATCTGGAATTAAAATTGTTAACAATTACAAATACAACATACTGATTAAGGATAGATACTATTAATATTCTTTTAAAATTATTCTTTAATTTATACAATGATGTCTATGTACTAAAAAATATACCTTCATTTGCTACTTTAAAGTTAAATGGGGTCGAAATTTTAGACATTTACTGGACATTTCAGTTTCTTGGATATTTCTATCCAATGGAAAAACATACTTAACTTTTTTGTTTCAAAAAGATAAACGCAAGTGGAGTTTTGTAAAAATCATCTGGAATATCTTCTTTACATAAGTGTGTTTTGAGTTTTTTTTTTAAATAATTCATTTTCATCATATTTTCATGAATTAAGTTAAAAAAAAACAGCATTTTTGGCTGTATATTTATCTAATTTTTTTAAATTTCATCGGTGATTTGTTCATAAAAATTGGCACAAATAATCTTCATACATAATCAAGCCTAATGTCATTTTTAAAAAGAGGGGTCCATGAACTCGTTTTCAAGTTAAATCGGTCTGAATGATAAAAATCAGTTGAAAAATGCTTCTTTTCTCGATATGTCACAGTTTGACATTGCGAAAAATAACATTTTATGGTAGCGACGTCATTACCTCCCCTGTAACTGTATCGTATGCCCTTAACACAGGACTAACCTATTGGTGTATTAGCTGATGACCTTTAATGGACACTAGGTCTCAATTTGAACCCTTTGACTGTAACATATGACCTACCATCTGAAATATCAGTTCAAACACAGGTTCTTCATATGACCCTCTTGACTCTGTATTAAACATATAACCTACCAATTGATGTATTAGCTGATTACCTATTACTAGACTCTGGGTCTTTATCATGACTCCTGTGACTGTACCATATGACTTATCCATTGATGTTTTAGCTGATGACCTATTACTAAACATTGGTTCTCTATATGACCCCTGTGACTGAAACATATGACCTACCCATTGATTTATTAGCTGATGACCTATTACTAGACATTGGTTCTCCATATGACCCCTGTGACTGTAACATATGACTTACCCATTGATGTTTTATCTGATGACCTATTACTAGACATTGGTTCTCCATATGACCCCTGTGACTGTAACATATGACCTACCCATTGATGTTTTAGCTGATGACCTATTAATAGACACTGGTTCTCTATATGACCCCTGTGACTGTAACATATGACTTACCCATTGATGTTTTAGCTGATGACCTATTAATAGACACTGGTTCTCTATATGACCCCTGTGACTGTAGCATATGACTTACCCATTGGTGTATTATCTGATGACCTATTACTAGACATTGGTTCTCCATATGACCCCTGTGACTGTAGCATATGACTTACCCATTGATGTATTAGCTGATGACCTATTACTAGACATTGGTTCTCCATATGACCCCTGTGACTGTAGCATATGAGCTCCAGCAGGTAAATCACCAGCCTTTCCTAAAAATCCTAATCTCATTTCAAAATCTGTAGGATATGGTCTTCTAGGATCACCTGTAAATTTAATATATATGTTAAAGTACAAATAAGTGATACATAATGTGGTATGCTTACTGAAAAAGTACAGGAGCTCTTTTCACAAAAAATCTTATGATAAAAATTTATCCTAAGTTATACTGAAATGTTCATAACTTAAACTTACGAGTTTTTTTTCTCATAAGATTTTTTGTGAAATGAGTCACTGAGCCTTTACCATGCAAATAACAGTATGAGTAATTCAATCTGATTAAAATACAGATTATGTGTCCACACTTTGTTTACAGGGATCTGACCACACTCCATTCTACTGTGAGTTCTGGTAATTATTACATCAGCCCAGGAAATATCTGCCTCCAAAAGTGTGTATCATTACAACAAAACCAGAGGACTCCTAAAGGTGTTTAAAACAGAAAGTTCAACAGATCATTGTCAGATCCTTGTAAGCAAAGCATGGACAAGGGATATCTGTATTTCAATCAGATTGTGAATAATTAGCATTTCTTTTGAAAAAATCCTTTTAACACAGGCTGAACATTAAATATATTTAAAGTCACTTTAATACAGGCAAGAAGGGGTGATTAATGAACTCAGGAATAATGTTCTAATACTATAAACTAGATCACTTTATCACCAGGTAAATCATAAGGAAATGTTCTCACCTGGAGCCCATGTGGGAGGTGAGGCAACTGCATTACTGGCGCTGATCCTGTGTGCAAACTTGATCAGCTCTTCAGATGACACTTTTTTCTTGTTTGCCTGCTGTATACCATTCAGTTTCTTCTTGGCTTGATATATAGCTGTTGACTACCAAAAAAAAACCAACAAAATATCAAATATTTTTTTTAATTAGAAATGTGCAATCCAAATGATAATGGTAACTACAAAGTATGATACTCAGACACCTGATTCTACTTTTTGTTTTTATTTCCATGATTTATCCCATGTAAGTTGGGTTGAAATGATTTCAGTCATATACTCCTTAGGAATGCTTATAAACTGCAATTTGGAACCAGATGCATCATTCTGTATTTATCAAAAATTTAAATTAGCAGTCAGCCAGTGAGTTTTTTATCTGTACAGCAATTAATTTTCCACAGGCTTTAAATTCTTAAGTTGCAGCAATGTGTAAGAACTAAAAACATGTTTCTTTATTTGGCCCTTGTGTATGGTATATAATAAAATCCTATTCAAGATTATTAATGATACATGATTTTATTTTTTGAAACTTTATCCGCATAATCAATGACCAAAGTTTTCTTTTGATCGGATGGACAGACAAATAGATGGACAGACTAAAAGATAGACGAACAAACTAACTAGGGCGGTAACTAGGCCTGCTTCCTACCTTTGGCAACGCAGGTAAAAATAAACTATCTGTATGTCTACCGGTATACATCCTATAGTTTTCTATGTCAGTTGGTCTCTTGTGGAGAGTTGTCTCATTGGCAATATACCACATATTCTTATATCTGACTATATATTAGTGCAGTCTTCCCAAATCACTAAGCTTCAAAAGACAAACTAAATAGTAAGACTATTATGAAAAAGTCTGTTGCTTTTCATTTGATGTCCTTCAAGTCTATTGAAGATACAAAAAGCATTTTATGTGTTGAATACTTTAAAATACTAGAATGTTTTCATACCAGAATTGTTTCAGCTTCTTTCAGACTGGTCTGTAACTGTTTTATATTGGCATCTCTTTTATCTACCTCTGTTTTTAATTCATCTATTGTTTTCTGTATCTCTGCTTGTTCTGCCGCTGTAATAAAAAAATCAAATCAGTGTGTAAAATTTCTGTCACTGTTTAGAATGTATATACTATTCTCATAAAGGCATATAAACTTGCATTGATTATATAATATTGTCTGTGAGTTAATCAAGTTGATTTAAAAAAAAAAAAATCCATTCCAGGTAGCAAACACATATAGATTCAGAATCATTCTATCAATGCATCAAGTGTAATAGGATATTTTACCAATAAAAACTTTTCAAATCTAAAACGCAAGGCTTGCTGCCTCAAACTTAACTCTTGAGAATAGAAAAAGATCCTACTCCACAGAATATGATGGAATCTGTTTCTCTAATGATTTTATAGGATATCTAGAGAAAGTACATTCTTCTGTGTAAATGTTCTGCAAAAATGATTGATTTCTTTCAGTGAGGCCTCATCAGACATAGTAACCCTTTTCTTCAGGCTCAAAATCAGATGATAGCAGGAAAACTTTACATTATAATTGATTTTTGATAAAAGAAAAACTGAGATCAAGCATACCAAACCTTGATTTTAAAACATAATAGGCTGTCAGAGTGACAGCAAACCAGATTTTGTAACATTTATTTGTGTCCTGGCATTTTTCAATATCACAAGGACCATAACTCCTGAACAGTAAAAGTGACTATTATCAATATTGAACTTCATCTCCATTTTGTCACCAGTAACAACATATTAAAATTTGAAAAGCTTTAGTTGAACGGATCATGAGTAAAAGCACGGACACTGCTTGGCAGCCGCACACCCTCCGTACATCCCCAAATCATTTACCGATTTTTCCCGTATATCCCCAAATCAATAACCTTCTGAAATCCTGTTAAAAATCAACTCATTAGGGAAAGTATTAATCAGCTAAGAATTAATAAAAAAACTTTTTACTTACCTACAGAACTTTTCTCACCTACCTGTTTTTAATGATTCTTTAATTTCTTTATCCTTATGGACTAGAAGGTCCATCAGATTCATTGTATCTGGGGCATCAGGTCTTTGTTGTCCTTTAGGTGTGCTCATTATCTCAAATAATTCCCTGTCAAATAAATACAAATTATTAATTACATTTCAATAAAGGTTACAACTGAAGTCAAGTTTGATGCTTAAAATCTGGAAAAAATTTGCCTTAACCAGAGACTTTTAACACATTTTTTTCTAAGGATAAGCAATAACCAGTACACTCAATGAAATATAATATGGTCCCAAATATGTTTTAAAAATAAATGCATAAAATGAACTTTCCAATATAGTATAAATCTAAACTTTCCAAAGGCTTCATAATATGACTCACACGGTTTACGTCTTCTGGTTTAAAATGTGCTATCAACCAGGGTTTCCAAAATAGTCATACATCAGGACTTGTTACTTTTTGTATGTGTCAGGATAGAATATCATTGAACCAGACAATGCAGAATATTTCATAGGATTAATTCAAAGTCATGATCAAAGGCCAAGTTCACTCATCTGAGATTTGTAAAAGAAAGCCTCAAGATATCAAATGGCTATCAAACTTGTCACAATGACATTGCCAGGACAGCCACTAAAAAGATCAATAAAATATTTAGGGTAACAACGCCAAAGGTCATGATTTTCAAAAACATAATAATAATACCAAATTAGCTTTGTAAATACCAATGAACAGTAATCATAAATAATTAACATTTAAGAACTAATCATCTAATCACAAGAAAATCACCAAGGGGACTGAACATGTGCCAGGGTTGCAAAAGGTGTTTGGGAGCGAAAAGGACCCAATACCATTGCCATTTATACAACATTTATATACAGTGGAATCCCCTGCGTCTGTGCGGACAGTGATATCATGTTTTACCTGTCAGGTTTCATCATATCCGCAATGTGACATACATTTTTGTAAATAGAATCATTCTTGTAATTGTTTTAGTCTTCTGAAGGACAAAAATGATTAATACTGATAAGTTCAAGCATAAATTTATAATTGCAATCCCCTAAATAATTACAGGTTTCATAATGAGTGAGAATTGGATATCAAGCGATATCCAATTCTCACAAGTTGTTAAACCTATTTCTCTTATCATGCTTATGGTCAACACTCTTGTTCAATGTTGTGTTAAGTTAAAAATTCTGCGAATAGTTGATCTAGTCTTTTGCACATTCATGTATGATGTCTGACATATGTCCTGTCCTGTAGTCAAATTTTAACATCGACATTTTAAAATTTTTTGTACACTTCAAAATGTAATAAAATTTGACAAAAAGAAGATTTTCATGTGAAAAGTGTGAGTGTTTTGTATATTATTGAAGAACTCACATATGTCCATTGTCATGGACGAAATGTACATCATCTTAACCTTTGAAAGTCACCAATGACCCAATGAATAGCCAAGGTAAATGTCGTAAAATCGTCTCATGATGCTGGATAAGCCAATCAAATTAACGCAGATTTATATATCACTTTTTCATCTCACACTCCCTACAGTCAGGGGTGCTACTTAAACAAGTGATTTCATCATCACTTATTTCAGTGATTTGATAAATTCAGTTATCACCTATTTAAGTGATTTTAGTGTTTTCTTTGATCTTCAAATGCTAATTTCATTGATTTTCCATATTTTCACAATCTTTTCTATAATTTTCCTACATAAATCAATTATCCCTTTTTCTTTGTATTTTAATTTCACCAGTGCGCTTGGGCAGTAAGTTAGTGCGCTAAAGCTTTTAAAAGTACCCTTGGGAATTTTTCTATAATCAAAAATTCATTAACTACTCTTACTATCAGACAAAGATCAACAATATAAGTTAACCTGATTGGTTTTCTTTAGAGTTAGAATGATCTACTTCAAGGTTATGACCTGATCTACAAACTATTCCAGTTTTTGCATATTTTAAAAAAACTGTAAAAGTGTCAGGCTTATCAAGCAAATTTCAATTTCTGCATGTACATAGTTGTTTTTTCAATGGAATTGTTGTCTTTTTACCAATAAAATAATCAAGCTTGTGGGAAAAATATCAAGAAAATGTTATAAACACTTATTAAAGTGATTACATTTTAACTTCTAAAATTACTTGTTTCAGTGATTTTAAAAAGTCTGTGTGAAAATTTTTAACATTTCACAGCCAAAATCACTCGAGGAAGTGATTCTGAAATCACTTGTTTAAGTAGTACCCCTGACTGCCCTATATTCAAAATTAGCTTTTTTTAGAAAGCATGCGCAAAATCATTTCATAAAATCTTAAGGGTGAAACCATACATAAAGAAGATTTCATGAAATTACAGTTTGTTATGAATTTGTTCACACAGGAACATATATATAATATATACTGTTCCCAGGTTCACACAATATTTTACGATTATTGGTTTTATGAGATTACCAAGGAAAGCCAAAGGTCTTAGGCGCGCAGATACACCAGAATGCACAGTAATTCTGAATACAATAAATTATACATAGCCAAGTTTTCCACACTGTCTTGCATATAAAAGTTCTGATTTTATAAAATTGGTAAACCTCTCACTATTTTCCCTCCTTCTACATGTCTGTGTCTAGTTTAGACTGAATAGACAATACCACAGTCATGACAGTTTTCCAGGTTTTACAAGTTTGGTAGGAAAAAAGCCTGAAGTTGCCTTTTTTACATGACATAACATGGTCTAGATCATGCATTTAATTTGGTGTTTCAAACATGTGAAATGACAGTTAAACTATTTGTGAAATTACTTAGATATAAGCTCAACATCATCAATTTGTTGTAAAAGTTTTTGTTTAGTGCTGATGGAGGAAGCCATGCTGAATTATTTGACCAATAAATTATGCTGATAGAGTGTGCAAAATTTGTGAACCAATCGAATACACTTTCGCATACAAGAAACAGAAACCGGAAGTGAATGTCAATAAAATCAAAACAAACTCATCATGAACAACAAATTTGATGCGTACGTAGAACATGCATAAATTCATAACGAACCAATTATATTTAAAGGTCCTTTAGTTAATCATAAGACACTTGACAAAGCAAATGACACATTTTTCCGTAGGGTCAATTTTTGTCCGGCAAAAGGCATAATTTTGACGTCATCAATTTGCCCAAACACGTGCAACTTTTGAACAGTCGAAAGCAGAACGGTCACCGGGATGAACAGGTTATATTTTAAGGCAAAACTATTGAAAACAATAATCTTTACATTTCTTCAAGTCATAATTATATCTGACCATGGTACTTTTCTCTGTTCGTGTGTGTATCATATCAATCACAAAAAACTGTCAAATATGTGCCAACAGCTGTTTAGACCAGACCTACAGTAGACTTTGCAGTATCCTGATAACAACAAAATCTCAAGCATATCATTGTTATAATGGTTGAAATTGTATGACTGCCTTACTAGCTGAGATAATTTTATTGCTTTCTCAGACATGTACTACTACATGTACTACATGCCCAAGTGTAGCATAATTTTTATATCATTATGCTGGTTTCTACTGAGGATGTTCACATATTTAATGCTTTTGCCTTGAAGTTTGTAGGAAAGTTGGCATGTTTTTCTTTGTATTTTTCATTTAAGGTTCATCATAACAAATGGACAAAAATGGCTGTGTTTAAGACCTCAAAAACTACTCTGAGTACAGACTAACCTGTGCAGTTGGAAAAGTTTTAAGGCCTGGCATCCACTAGATATATAAAAGTTAAATGCATTTTGTTTTTCAGAAAGATAAAATCTTTTTTGGATTTTGATGACCATTTTTTACACGCCCGTTTACGGGACGTATTATGGTATAACGTTGTCCGTCCGTCGTCAACATGTCGGACATTAACTCAAAAACGCTTTAACTAATTTGCATAAAACTTTGGTGAATTGTTTATATCTATTGACGTGAGCTCCCTTTCATTTTTTATAAATTACAAATTTTTCGTTTCCAAGTTGTGGGGTTTTATTCATTAAAAAAAGGGGGATTTTCCAGTTTTCGGACAATAACTCAATGTCCCTAGCATGGCCTGTCGACAAAGGATATACAATTATACGTCCCTACTGCATCTAAAGGGTTTATGAATGTAAAATGGGATTAATGAAACGAAATGTGGAGTAAATGTCAATAATACATTAACCTAACAACAAAAATTACCAAAAGACATCTAGAGGTAATCAACTATAGACAAATGTCAAGTTCTTAATCGTCAGGTTTTTATCCAAGTTGTGAATAAATTAAAACTATCAAAGATATGCCATTAAAACCAAATTATCGTAAATATGAAAAAAACATTATCATTTGACATAAGACAATCACTGATAAGGTTCCCAACTATGGACTTTCACATGGATATGTGTTGGAGTTAAACAAAATGTAGTACTTACTGGAATCACTTCAGTTAATCCTTCATTTTTGTCTTTTGGTACATTGTAAATATTTGCACTAACAATTTCAAACATTAATTTTCAATTCACTATCTGTATCACTATGAGCATGCTAAGAACAAAGGTAGAAAGCCTTGAGTGGAGATAGTTATGAACTTATCAACAATAGGATGATTTATTTATTGAGGGGAATGTACAATTGTCAATTTTTTTACAAGTGCAATTATTGAGAGTTATTGTAGTTTTGCCACATTCATCAACAAAAGTACTGAGTACTGGACAATTACATTTAAAAACGGATTTCAAAATACACAGTAAAAGTATGATACATGAGTATTCACTTTCCATTTTGACTTAATTTGTTTATTGTAGATTAAAACAAGAAGATAGTGGTGAGGATGATCAAACAGAACAGAAAAATGAACAAGAAGAAATAGATTCTCCATTTAAACTTAGACCTTCACCAGTAAGTTTTCAAAAAAAAGTTTATGATGATTGAAACTTTTCATTTTGACAAATTGATAAAACTAATATTTTGAAATTCATGCAAAAAAAGGGACAATTAGATTATCTTCCTTTTTAAAACACATATCTATTATTCTAAGCTATTGCCATGATTAATTTGTCATAACCGAGGTTTACTAAAACGGATCTTCATGAAGTTTTTGCACAATGTTAATCTTCATAAAACAATTTCCTTTTTGAAATATTTATTTACAACAATTATAATTGTTGTTTAAGAGTATTACGAAGGAAGTCAATAAAAATTTTACAATTCCTAGCACATCTTATCATAATTCAATCTTGCTTTATTTGATCCAGTTTCAGTACCGGTATATATTATTTTGTATATCTATGCATTGTTGATGTTGATAAAAAGTTCTATCATTAAAATTTTAATTTGAATGTGAAAGAAACTGTTTAAATAAGATAACAGCAGCATATCTATAAATGTATGATTTTCATTCAGAGACCAGGGCCTGGAGAACATCCATTACAGTTCAACTACGCAATATGGTTTTCTCGGAAATCTCAAGGAAAAACATCTTCTTCTGCAAGTTATGATCAAAATTTAAAATTAGTTGGAACATTTGCATCGGTAAGTTCAAATCTTTAAAACAACATAGAACTGCTATTAAAGTAGGTATCAGTATATATCTACCAGAGACCAAAGGACAAGTTTGTAAATAACGGTAGGTCACTGTACGGTTTTATACAATAAACAAAGTCCATACCATATAATAGCTATAAAAATGCCATGGCTTGACAAAATGTGAAACCAACATTGCTTATCTTTGAGGACTTTTGGGAGAAGACTTTTATAAGTTTTATTATCTTGTTTCTCATCCCTTTTGCATATATTTATTCCAATTAAAATATGTTTAAACCTAAACCAACATTGCTTTGAAAAGCATCCAATTTACAATTTGACTATCCACTATAGTTAATAAAGAAAAATTCATCTGAAACTGTAATGATAAAGAATTCTGACTGTATGTACCCGGTATAAGATCATATATATATCCCCAGTTGTGTCAAATTTGGTATTTGCTGCTTCTCAAGTTAGCACTACATTTAGGAGTTAGTTCAAAGACTTACTGGCACAGAGTCCGAATAATGTTTTTAGGAAAGATAATTATATTTTCCCCCTGTTACCATTTAAGGTAGCCTGTTCAGAGATTCAACATTATGGTAAAGTACAAAATAGGGTCCATACATGTTTGACAATAGTAAATGAATGACCTTGAAATAGTGTATGCTTAAACCAGCAAATTTGTTAAAACAAAGAAAATTGGCTACTCTCATAAGCATATGTACAGTTCACATAAGGTGGTTTAGTCATAAAAAAATCCCTCTTGCTTGTGTTGAGAAATTCACTGTTTATCAGGGTGATTGAAGTATAGCTGATTTACAATCCTGTCACATAATACATATGGAATATTTTAAGAGATATATCAGAATAAAATACCCAGAATCACCAGCACTGGTTCTTAAAATATCAACACCAAGAGTTACTTTTAAGTCTACTCTACATGATTATATACATATGTTAATGAAATCCAAGTGCTCAACATATTTAGGAACATCTGGTTCAAAAAGGACTTATACAGTACAACCTCAAGCATTATCATATGTTATAAGCAACATCTAAAATATGATTCAGATATCATAATTATCATTTCATTAAATTGCTGCAGTGTATCTGAAGCTTCAAGTTCTCTTGAATTAAATGAGCATAGAATTGAATATTTTTTTTGTTTTTGTAGGTTGAACAGTTTTGGGGTATTTACAGTCATCTTGTCAGACCCAGTGATCTCTCAGGACATTGTGATTATCATCTTTTTAAAGAAGGAATTAGGCCAATGTGGGAGGTATGGATTTATACATGTATAACCCGTTGATGTAAATATAGAAAAAAAAAGGTATGAAGTTCATTTAAAAATAGTTAAAATCCCTGTAAAATATAACACCAGTTTTAAATCTTCCTTGCATCCATATACCAAAAACCTTTCTCATACAGGTAGAAATATTTGTCATTTACAGGTCAACCTTGTTTTGAGATTAATTAAATTATGTTGATTTTGGTTCTTGTTTTATAAATGCGTACTTCAAATAAATGAATACTTGATGCTACGCTTGAACTATATTTGCTCTTGCAATATTGACTTGTTATAAATTCCTGACTACATGTCAGAGAGAGAAAAAAAACTGTTTTTCATTGAAGGCAAAATAGACAGAAGGAAATTTTACATATAACGTTGTTATAAAATATAAATGTACACAACTTTCTACATCTTTTTAGATTTAATGAAAGGACATTAGGGCTAACTATTCAGTGAAATTTGAACTTTTAATTCAAGATTTTCATTTCATTCAGGTAATAATACAACATTAGTTTATGATCAATGACGTCTTAATTAATGTACTTGTGATGTCACCGAATCAGCTCTTCTATGTGTTTTTGTGAAAAAAGCATATATTTTGGTCAATTTTCAACTACACGTAGTTTTGGGACATGCAAATACGTAGCACATGCAAATACTAATTAAAATACTGTGATGTTTGTATGTGAATATTTACTTGGTACTTGCATGTTTTCAATATATTTGGCTCTCTAATATGTGTCAAAAAACACAATTTTGTCCCTTTTTGTAGTAAAAATTTCAATTTATGCTATCTTTCAGCCATAAAACTCTTGGTGAATATTCTCAATATTTGATATTCCATCTTTACACAAAAATTAGCTTATTTAGTGAATACACAATTTTATAGGATAGTGCAAATAATAAAGGCGGAAAATGGATTGTTAGATTAAAGAAAGGATTAGGATCCAGATGTTGGGAGAATTTAATTCTTGCCATGTTAGGAGAACAATTTATGGTTGGAGAAGAAATATGTGGTGCAGTGATCTCAATTAGATATCAGGTAAATTCCAATCAAAAAATAAATAAAAGTGATAATAAGTTTAAATACTAATTAAAAACCAAATTGTTCATAGAATAATTGAAGGTTTTTCCACATGATATTAATCCATTAAAGTGTTTTTGATAAAAAAACATAAAAAAAGGTCAAAATAAACACTCTACCTATCATGCCTATTAGATAATAGGTAGCCTAAACACTGATTAAAAAAAAAAGAGGTTTTTATGTACTTTCACTTGAAATAAAAGAAATTATAAGGTACATCTGCTTTAGAAAATTTAGTTCTGATGGCATATGAAAGGATATTTTATACTGATTTGAAAAATTTATGGTTGCTAGGGACTTTTCTGTGACATAAGGGAGATAATTTGCCATTTCCGGTTTACAGAAAGTCACTACCTGTGTCTTTAGTAGCTCACTTTGCACTGATTTAAAAATATATGATTTCTATATACTTTTGCCTTAAATAAGGGAGATAATTTGCTACTTCCAGGCTCATATGATAACTTTCTTTGCACTGATTCCTGAAATCACATTTATAAAACATAAACACTAATAAACTATATGGTTTCTATGTACTTTCCCGTGAAATAAGGGAGTAAATCAGTCATTTCGGGTTTACCGCAAGTCACATCTGATGCCTTAAGATGGCTTAGGTGGACCAAGGACTTCAAATCAAGATAATCTAGGGCTCTATTAGTTATGGTTCATGAGTTACATTTAGATATCATATACAAAAGGGGAAATACCTCTCATATGGAGTCTAAGTATTGCTTCGGTTGAAACTAATTGAGGCATCGTGAGGATTTATCGTGTAATTTGGACAAATGAATTTGTCAATTTCTTTTACGATTGTGAAGGAGATGTGCACACAAGAAAAACAGTGTTTGGGGAGTGTCTTACAAAGGAATTTGTTTGGTTTAACAGGGTCTAATAAAAAGCGTAGAAACTGTTCGATAACATATACCAAATATCTAAGCAACCTGTTGCGAAACAAAAATTACACGCACTAAACAAATTTGGTGGAAGAAAAATATTAAATGAGTAATAATCAGAACAAAATCAAAAGGTCTTTCCACGGAAAAGTGGAAAGACCTACACTTATGCATCTATCTCTGCATTGTAATGGAAACTCTGTACCTATTGGATATCAAGGGCAATGTAATTAATGTTTTCTCTCATTATTAGCCAATTTATGCTTTTTCTGAACAATTGATTTATTTGTTTATATAATCAACATGTGGTTTGCTTGATCTCAGATCTTCATTGCGAAAATTCAATTATGATGTCAATTTTTTTGCTTTCTTCTGATTTTGCTATTGAAAAATGGCAACCATGAATGATGAAGTCACATAGATAAGGAAGAACTTGATCCTTTTGCAGATCATTGAAAAAAAGTTTGCCTACATGTTGTCTAAAATCGTTAGAGAAAGGAATCCCACCACTGTATCTTTTGCAATATAATATTTCACCTCTCAGCAGTTTTTTAAATGTTTTAAATTCAACTTAAAGTCTCTAGAGGAGCAATTTTGTATCATACTATATGCAGTGGTAAAAATAAAATCTATATTTATAACTCTTGATTGAACAATGTATAAATGCTCCAGTTAATTCTGTGAAATATACAATTTACAATTTTATTTATGATGGTTATTGGATAAATAACTTCAAATTTAAAAAATATGAACAAAAAACAGATAACAATAATGATTTAATTAAAAAAGATTGGAAAAAGGAATTATTTGGGTTTTTTAGTCACTTGCATACTTTTATGAATTCAAGTATTTTACGGTACTTAACAGTCTCCATGATAAACTTATAAATCTACAGGCCTGGAGCTCAATTTTTGAAACATTTAGTTAGATTCTGTTGGCCTATAGAAATTATTTTTACAGGTCCGAAAGCAAATTTACAGGCCTGGGCTGCTCGGCCTGTGGTTACTCATGAAGACTGACCTAATGTAGTACTGCATGTGACACACAGAAAAAAATACCTGCATGAAATCGTTTAAAAGTATTTATGATAGTATATAAACTTTAATGATAAAAAATCCCATCTATTTATGCTTCATTTGATCTTTGATGAATATGTTTTGTAGGAAGATATTTTAGCTTTATGGAACAGGACTGCCTGTGACCAAGTAACTACATCAAGAATCAGAGACACATTAAAACGAATACTGAATTTACCTCCTAACACCATCATGGAATATAAAACACATAATGATAGCATAAAGTAAGTAGATATTGGAGGATGATAAGGAGGAACTTTGCATGAAAGAATAATTAATTTAGCCTTTCAGAACAAAAACAAATACTTAAAAATTGACAAATTTATTTTGTGAAATGTTCCCGTGTTTTTTGTCCCATGCCACAACACAAAAAGGGAGTGCCTATTTTTTGTAATCAACTCCTCTTACAGTTTTTTATCTAGATCCATGAAACTTAAGAAATAGATTGCACACATACCGAATTTGTGCAGTTGCTATTATGGAATGGTTTGAGGAATTTTCCCCAAAATTCCAAACTTGGAAAATAACTCATTTTGGTACTATTTTTTTTTGTTCAATTTCTTCAACTCATATCCTTGGAACTATACACAAAGTTTGCAAAGGTATTGAGATTTTGCACCTTCCATTATGGAATAGGTTAAAGATTTTTTCATTTTGTTTTAATTTTATATTTTTACCATATGTTTAAATGTTCATAAAACCACTGCCATTTGAGTTTTAAGTCCATTTTCACCAGAGTTATGTCCCTTGGAAATGTAAATTTATATTGATGCTCTCACATTTACATTTCTTGTCTGATTTTTTGGAAAAGTACATCAAAGGTTCATATCAGCAATTTTTCAGAGGTGTTTTATAATCATTGATGGTCAACAGTTTTTACCAGAGTTAAAATTGTAAGGGCTCTCATGTCTAAATTTCTTGTTGAATTTACGTGATTTTATAAGAACCCCGGGAAGTAAAATATTTGCCATTGCAGCATTGAATCTCTGTTCTTGTTTTTTTTTTTACTTCAAGAAATAGATATGCATCTGTTTACATTGTTGGATTGTTATACCTAACAGTTTACTCTATATTCCTTGGATATCTTATGTATTTTCTGTCAAGCTGTCCACTGGAAAATTGGTGTCAATTCAATTATTTTATATTGAGTTTAATCAAAGATATTGGTTGTTGTAATCTTGTTTCACAAGCAACTTTCTATTTTCTTATAAATAATATTATAGTATGTTAGGGCTCACAGAGTCTGTATACTGTCCAATACCACTTTCACTTATTTTCCATAACATTTCCTCATCGATAATTGCATTTTACTTTGTATTTTTCAGAGACAACTCAAGTTTTAGAAATACAGATATCTTCATGAGGTGACACTGAATCTTTGAAAGGCAATAAACGGACCGATTTTAGACATTTTAACAGAATAGTGACAAATGTTTTACAAATGGCACATAGGAAGTTTTATGATACAAATTTTATGCTGTTAATGTCAAAGAAAGGAATTTGGCACTATATAATAATGTTATTGTTGAGAAATACTCATCACATGCATTATCTGTTAATTGTGACAAATAGTTATATCAGTAAAACTGCAGTAATGTTCATCAATATTTGAAAAGAACCTTGAGAAAATACTCTATATTATAATTATTGGTAAATTATTTATACATCCATGTTTGATGAAAAGAGGTGTGTGGAATTCTGTGTTAATCTGCAAAATTATTTGCTAAATAGAATGAAAAAAAAACAGAGTGACTAATTTTAGTGGGAGATAAATATACTCAAATAAATCCATCTTTTCACCAAGTTATATGATTGTAGGTCTTTTCTATAAAAACATTCACTCATATGTTAAACTCGACATAAAACAATGAAGTAAAAAATGTAGTTCAGAGTGAACTCCTTTTGCTGAAGGCTGTTATACTATACCACCAACCTATATGATCGTAGCTCACTTGTATCTGAGATCTGTACTCAGGCATATAATTTAATGGTTGTTAAGTCTTTATTAGGTTTTTCACTACACCAAATTATATTGCTGTATGGTTATTTGGTTATGGAAAATGGTTGTAGACATAGATATGGACATCAGGGTTAAACAAATAGTTGTCTCAAGATAACTCCACACTCCTTAAATGGATCCTGACAAATTGTTTATACAATGTTTTGTTCCAAAAAAGCACCTTTTTGATTGTGAAGGTTTTAAGATTTGTTATTCATTATTTATGGGAATTTTAAAATCATTAAAATCAACTTTTTAAGGCTTGTGTCTTAATGAATTCAAGTTTGCATTCTTGGATCTCAAAGAAATTAAGAAATGTTTGGTTCCATGGAGGTAAGATCCATTTCAATTATAACTATTTTTGGATTTGTCATTCCATAGTTAGCAGACTTAAATCTTCAAAAATATAACAATCCAAAGCTTTTCTCATGAAAACTCAGTTTGTTTTATTGGATTTTTGCACATTGTATAATTTTATGAAGTCCAGCTCTTTTTAAATTTTGTTGATTTTTCTATACTTTCCTTCAAGAGATGTTGGACTATATTTGTCAAAATTTATACAATTGTTGGTGCCTATTTAGCAGAGAGCAAGGTTTTTTTAAATGGTATCCCATGACATTTTGTAACAACCTTACATCCTGTAAATCTTCCCTTCTTTTCATTATTTTAATATTCTCAGATTTGTTGTTCTATTGGTATGTGTCTTAAGTAGAATATTGTGAATTCTTGACAACTGTTTTATTGGCATATTTCAAACCCTTAACATATGGAATATATATAACAATCATCATGACTACATTTATGAATTATCATAAAATTGTGATATTTTACATGGTCTATTTTAAATAAAAGGATAGCACTTATATTTTTATTTACTATTCAATTAGTGTAAAATGCTTTGGACTGATAATAAATACAATTTTACAAGTCATATGTCTAACCTTCAAACAAGAACCAGTATGCTTATTCCTCAACTCTAAAGAGGGATCAAAACAGATTTCTGTCCAACAACTCTTTTCTATTTCCCTTTTACAGCTATATCTACTACTAAATATAGCTTCTTCATCATTAGTAAGGGTAAAGCTCCAGATATTCTATTATAGAAATTATTGCAGTCATATTTGATGATTGATGGAATTGTAAAGGTGATAGAAAATGGTTAGAATTTCTTAAATTTCTAATAGGCATTGCCCTAGAGCATGCATTTACTAAATGCTAATTTTACTAAAACATTGCAGCGTTCAATCTATTGAAAAATACATTCATTTATTTTGACCTATAGTTGTTAATTTCTTTGTCATTTGGTCTCTTTTGAAGAGTTGTCTCATTGGCAATCATACCACATCTTCTTATTTATATATTTATTACATGAGAGTAATATTGAAGAAAATAGAATTGGTAGTATTACAAAGAATATCAAAATGTTTGTCACAGAAACTTAATAATAAATTGCCCAAATTTGACAAGTTGTGCAATTCATTTCAGGTAGGTGATAATGGTAATGTTTTCTTTGATTCCCTTGTCTATAGCATAAACTAAGATATGTATGATGGCCTGTTCCAAAGCTGAAACATTTTCATATGTAGTTATTGTGAAAGAAAATAAAACCTTTCATGACGGTCAGGTTATTTAAATTCTTGGAAGATGAACTGTCTTATTGAATAAAAAAAAAATAGCTATTGTTCTTTTTGGAGTTAAATCATTGGGAACTTTTAAGTTTCTCCTTGAAAAGATTATTGATTAATTTTGCTGTATAAAAAATTAAAATTCCTCTGGTGATGAATATACATTTGTACATGTACCAATACTCAATAATGACACACAATATTAAAATGTGACAGATTCAGGCTCTTAGGAGCTTCTTGTTTCATTGTTTATTCCACTTGTAGAGATTTAAATATGAGGGTTTATTGCTTAAATACAACAATAGTGAAGCCATTCCTTGTTATTTCGAGGAATCTCATTTACTTGTTTTCTTTGTTTATTTCTAAATATTTTTGTCCAGAAAGGAATTAGTGTTAATGGCAAACATTTGGTGGTCTTTTTTTAATTTATTCAAAGTCTTTTAGCTTCAAATAACTTCGAGATTCACAGTTTGTAAAGACACTTGTCTTTTGTTGAAGATCATATGTTTGCTTCATGGTGTTACGTATACTAGTTTGCTGTCTCATCGATATATTCGAAGTGAAAACTATATTTCACCAAATGCATGTGTCAAAACCACCAAAATTTCTCCAAAAAACAAAGTAGAATATTATATTACAATTACAATATACATGATATATGTGTTTGGGGTATTACTATTTGAAAAAATTAAAAGTATAAATTAAAAAGTTAAAAAGTTTATTTATAAATACAATTCATAGCACTGGTAAAACAATCACACATTATTTTATGATCAAAACAAAAATCGAGTTAACGAAAATAATATGCAATTTTAGATACATATGTAAGTCAAATTCTATCAGCTTGTTAGGCTAAATATTCAGCAAAATCTCCATAAATAAATCTTTAAAATATATACAAACATTTTCATGTACATGAACCTTTTGGTTATAAAATATATATGTACACATGATGTATAAAAACAGATTAGTTTTCAGAAGTACATATAACAAAAAGACATAAGGAGCAAATTAGAAGTCATACTGGTAATATTGCCTGACATGACATTTATATACTGTAAATACAAAAATTATTGCAATGTTGTTTTTAATGTGAAAAAATACTACAGAATATGATTCGCAATAATTACAACTCACATTTATAATTTCAGTAGTGTTTTTCCTCCGTAAAATTTTTGATATCACATAAATAAGACTTCACAATTTTACAAATGGTCAAGGATTTGCAAAAATAAATTCATGCATTAATTTCTGAATTTACAGTAGTTAATTTAAAATTATTATTTCACAACAAATTGTTGTACTTGCATGTTTTCCGGACCAAAGACTTTAATCCTGTTTATTTCATACACAACACAACTAAATTTTAATTTTGATAGTTGTTAAAACTTTTCTGATAAATTTTAGTTGATGAATTACATAAATAACCATACTACGCATGTACTTTTTAATTTTCCAAGAACTGACTGACAACTTCATATCACAAGTAAAATTTATCATTTATAAAACAGTATTGCCAGAATCTTGCATATATTTTCTCTATACATGTATATGACTACTGAAATCAACATTATCAAAGTTCCAAATTCAAAATTGTAACATTTGGAGATTGATCAGCAATGGCAATTTTCTGAGAACCTTCCAAAATAAATGGTTTCATCCAGTTAATTTTTCCAACATGCTGAATCTCAGCTATTTTAGCAGCTTCTGACACAGATTCATTTCTAGAGTCCTCGCCATTTGTATGACCATTGGTCGCTGCATCCCCATTTGTAGCTGACTCTGTTTCTACCTGGTCTGCCTTTTCTAAATCCCATATGCAAATGCTACAATCATTACCACCAGAAATTAACTTTTTATTTGACAGAAAGTGTACTTGAGATGTTCCTTGTGAATGAGCATGTAGGCTATACAGTTCTCTCATATTCTTTCTTGATATATCAAAAACTGCTACATGTCCATTTTCTAAGGCAGCTGCTAAATAATGACCATCTAATGATGCTGAAAGATTGTGAACAAGGGGAGGATTAAACATATACGCATCACCTTCGGCATTGACGCTCTGCAATTCTTGCATGTTAAACTGGTTGACACATTTGGGGCGAGAAAAATCCCAATGGATTAATTTACAGTCTAAGCCACCAGTTATTATCTCCCATGGTTTACGTGGTCGGAAACAAGCAGTTGAACAAATATTTGTATGCTTTAATCGCAGCGTCTTAAATACTTTTTTGTCATGTAAATCAACTATTTTGATCTCCCCTGAATCATCACATGCTGCTAAATATTTTTCTTTCTCATCCAATACAATCTGATTGATCTCTTCCTGATTAAATTCAAAACAATCAACTGGCTCTTCCAAGTTCTTGATGTCATAGACTTTAATTTTTTCATCAAATGAAACATATAAAATATTTTCTTTCTCTTTAGAGAAACAAACAGATGTACAACCAGTGTCAATATTTTCTATCTTTTTAAGAAGTGATCCATCCGATTTCCAAATACAAAGTTCGCCATTTTCACTGCCACTTGCAAGAAAGGATGCTGTCTTATCCACATCAACACAAAGAACAGATGCAGTATGACCTCCTGTTAATGTTGCTGTCATTCTGAAAACAGAAATATGTAGTAAAGATGTGAAATTAAACAAAATGCTTTGAGGTCATTTGGTCTCTAAATAGAAAGTTTTCTCATTGGCAATCATACATTCAGCACTTAATTTTTTAATGATAAAAGGAAAATATCTTGAGAAAAAAAATGGTGTGATTTGTCTTTGACCATAAATTTTCTGATGCTGAAATGTCTGAAATGTGCCGAATTGTCTTTGAAACAGGGTGCGGAGGTTTCAGGTCCTTTCGCATCCTATTTTTATTGAAATACAGATTGGACTATTAGATGTGTTTAAATGTATATACATTAAAATATTTATGTTTTAAAAATTTGGGAAATTTTAAATGAAATATATTTGTTTATTTGTGATTTGATGATTAATTATTAAATGTTAATGATGCATGATTACTGCTTATTGGTATTTACAAAGCTAAATTTGGTATTATTGTTCTGTGTTATGAAAATCATAATGAATAACATAAAATATAAATGCTCTATATGGTAACTGATAGCTGTAATTTGTTGTTGTTGTGGCAATGTCATTGTTACGAGTTTGATAGCCGTTTGGTATCTTCCGCATTTCTTTTACAATTCTTAGATGAATGAACTTTGTCTTGATCAACATGACAATTTTTTATTCATTATTCATTTCCTTAAAATAATAAATAAAACACTTAAGGAAACCTCACTGTTTATGTTTTTAAAATGTCACTTTACTTTGAAACAATAAAAAAAAACTTATTTAGAGCAATACACTAACTAAAACATGATTAAAAAAATGTTCAACACATGTCAACGTGAAAGGGGGTGAACATGAATGGGAGTGAACGTGTAGCCTGGGATCCAGGCTCATTCCTCGACAGTAGAGCCAGGCGGAATACGACATGGTTTTGTCAATTGGATGTTAGAATGATGCATCGTGGGATAGAGTCATTTCTTGACACATGGCAGGAAATATTTATATATGTTGTCACAAATTTATTGAAAATTATTTTTCATTTCATATGAAATGCAAATTTCGAAAAATTTAGCATATACAATTCAAACGTTATAAACATCGTGAATCAAATGTTAATTAACGATCCAATCAATATATTCCTTGTTTATAGAACATGCACATGTGCAGTAATTTAGTCCTGTTCAGCTCTGATAGTTGGTCATGTGGATTGTATTATGCCTGGCCCTATCGACGATGTATTAGATTGGATCACGATGCCAGGCTAGTGAACGTGATTTTGGGCGAACTGACATAGAGTCGGGTGCGGAAATGTCTTGGTACCGAAGTGTCAGTGCCATTAGTCTAAATAATCATGACATCTGCCATGGGTATTTTTCAATTTTGAATTTTAGGTCTCTCAGGAGGGCATCAAAACCAGAAAATAAAATAGGCTGTCCTTCCTAATAGAGCAAAAAACTTACCAAATATGATCAGAGATGTATATAATATCTATATAATGTCTCTGATATGATCATTGACCTTCCATGGCATAGTGCCCGTAAAACATTAAAAGTGGTTCCCCCAAAACCAGCTGCCTAAAACTGACCTATTCATAACCTTTAAAATGTTAACTAAGCAAAAGTTTCAAAGTCAATTAACCATGGTTGAGAGGTGGGGTCATATACGAATATGTGAAGATATAGAACATATTTCTTGCATACTTTGTAATTTTGGTGCCTCATGGCATCCACTTCATCTGCTCTTCGTGAGTTTTCTATTCTTTACTTTACATTTGAGGAAAACGCTTCGTTTTTCCCGATAATCCGAATGAAATCCGGATTGACTGATTTGGCTTGTTTCGTCTTTTACCATAGAGCTATCAGAAATTAGTAGAAATATAATTTTAAACCAGTCAAATAAAAAAAATTTCGGATGTTTCCCATATCTTATGGGAAAAACCCACTCAAAGATTTTGTTTCGAAAGTTTTGTTTGAGTTTTTGGGATAATATGGCTGCCAGCTGTTGTGGAGTGAAGAAACAAAAGCTGAACAATTCAATGCCTGCAGTTTGCTGCAATGGATCAGCCATACATCCCAATCATTATAAAAATGGCTATACTGTGTCATGTGTAGATATGTGTAATTTTTGTTTTGACGTTCTTCATAGTCACCTGTATAATTATGATCCGCCCAAGACACCGTCTTTCACCAATGAAGCATAGTGAGTACAGTGGAAACCATAACAAAGAAGTTATTGATTTTTCTTAAAATAAAGAAATTTAGAAAAAAATATGTTGAATAATAGAATAGGGAATAATAGTCTGGTTTTGAGAGAAAAAATATATCTTGTGACATACTTTTACAATTTGTTGTGTTCAATATTTGGTTTTGATTTTTAAACCAACAATAATACATTATTAGATCTGTTTCAGGTACAGTGTGCATATTTCTAATCAGCTGATTAGAAAAAGGGTGTAGGTTAAAAAATACATATATGTAATTGTAAATGAAATGAAGTTTGTTGTTAAAGAAAATATCCTTTGTTTACAAACTGATGACTCATAAAATTATATCCTTTGACTTATGTACCTGAGGTAATGAGGTCACAACCTTTTCACCTATGGGTCAGTTAAATCTTGTATTGGCATAATCATCTGTTTGTCATTTACCTGTTATCAGAATAAATCTGGTCAGGCTCAAAACTGACCAACACTTCTGTATATTTGAACAATGATTTTTCTTATTCTAAGAAGTTTACATGTAATATTAAAGATGGATCTATAACTAGGTGTCTATATTAAAGATACCTGCAGCTGTTTTCTTTGTGCAAACTTGTATTGACAGACAATCTCAACATTGGCAACCTGAGATTACTATATAATGTCTGTGTTATACATTGTAGTAATCTCAGTTGCAACTTACCATCTGACATTGTTTCATTAGATAATACATAAAACAGGAATTACCAAATATCTCTGACAGTATAACATGTACAATAAACCAAAACTGCTTGTTACACGTGTATGTTAACAATGTTTCCGTGGAGTATTTATGATGTACAATAGATCACCTCATAAAAATTTCGAGGGTGGAGCTAATAGATAATTATTTTGATCAATTAAATTTTATATAAAATTGGTACTCTCTATGCGATAATTTTAAAAAAATACATGTATATGTATGTGATTAAAATGTATGTACATTTGTATCTAAATTTTCTAACAAAAAAATATAAATTAATTAAAGTCTTTCAAAATTATACGATTAAGGATTATTATTTAAAGTTATCTCATATAATCTTGAAACTTAAGGTTCATTTTGAGAAAATCAATAGTGGTGCTAAAAATTCAAGGGTGAAGCAAGGAGCACCAACCTTGTAAATATTATAGCCTGTGGTGATCCCTGGAATCTAGATGTAACTATGAAATGCAGGCCTATATTTCACGAAAAAGTCTCACAGATGCAGCATGAAATAGATTAAAATACTGTCTTTTATGTACATGTATGATCACAAAATGCAGAAGTACTTCTGGAACTACATGTACTGGTTTTACTGCAATGCAGACCTACAGGAAAATAGAATTATAAAAATTATAACCTTTAATACAATATACATTTAGTCTTAGATACATTCCTTTTTTTTTTCTTTTTTTATGCCCCCGCCGTAGCGGAGGGGGCATTAAGTTTTACCCTTGTCCGTCTGTACGTACGTACGTACGTACGTACGTCCCGAAATTGGTTTCCGTTCTCTAACTTGAGTTTGCCTCAACCAAATGTTATGAAACTTATACACAATGCTTATTACCACAAAACACAGATCAAGTTTGAATTTTGGTGGCATCACTTTAACCGATCTAGAGTTATGCCCCTTTATAAAAGGAAATATTGCAAAATATTTAGTTTCCGTTCTCTAACTTAATTTTGCCTCAACCAAATGTTATGAAACTTATACACAATGCTTATTACCACAAAACACAGATCAAGTTTGAATTTTGGTGGCATCACTTTAACCGATCTAGAGTTATGCCCCTTTATAAAAGGAAATATTGCAAAATATTTAGTTTCCGTTCTCTAACTTAATTTTGCCTCAACCAAATGTTATGAAACTTATACACAATGCTTATTACCACAAAACACAGATCAAGTTTGAATTTTGGTGGTGTCACTTTAACCGATCTAGAGTTATGCCCCTTTATAAAAGGAAAAATTGCAAAATTTTTATTTTCTTCTAAATATCAAGTTTATATAATATATTTTTAAAATTGGAGTTATCTTCCTTTGACCATGATTATAGTTGAATCAACTACAATCAATGCTTTATATAATGCAATGTTTAATTTAGACTTCCACTGATAAAACACAGATCAAGTTGAATTTGGGTAGTGTCACTTTAACCATTATTGAGTTATGCCCCTTTATAAATAGAAAGATTGCAAAATTTTTTAGTTTCCATTCTGTAACTGAAGTTTTCCCCAGCCAAACATTATGAAACCTATACAAAATATTCATTACCACAAAACTCAGTAAGGATCAAGTACAATTTTTTTGTTTCAGTTCTCTAACTTGAGTTTGCCTCAACCAAATGTTATGAAACTTATACACAATGCTTATTACTACATAATACAGATTAAGTACGAAATTAGGTGGCAACACTTTTACCATTCTAGAGTTATGTCCCTTTATAAACATAAAAATTGCTGATTTTTTTTAGTTTGTCTCAACCAAATGTTGTAAAACTTATACACAATGCTTATTACCACAAAACTCAGATCAAGTTCAAATTTGGGTAGCGTCACTTTTACCGTTCTTCAGTTATGTCCCTTTATAACTATATGATATGCAAGCGGGGGCATCATCTGTGTCCACATGTGGACACTATCCACATTTATTTTTTTTATTAGTTGTTATTGGCTTTGAACTAGCTGTCAGTAACTTCGAGTACAGTCTCAGATCTGTACTTAGTGTATTTTTTGTTGTTAGGGATGAGGGATGGATATATACCCTGCCACATCATGTCTGTGTTTTTGTTTGATGTTTTTCTTTGTATCAATCTGATGAGTTGATATAAAAAAGAAGATGTGGTATGATTGCCAATGAGACAACTTTCCACAAGAGACCAAATGACACAGAAATTAACAACTATAGGTCACCATACGGCCTTCAACAATGAGCAAAGCCCATACCGCACAGTCAGCTATAAAAGGCCCCGAAATGAGCCTTTTTCAACTGATTTTTATAGTTTGTTCTTATGTTGTGCTGTTGTGCTGTTGCACCACTGTCCCAGGTTAGGGGAGGATTGAGCACTCACAAACATGTTTAACCCTGCCACATTCTTTATGTGCCTGTCCCAAGCCAGGAGCCTGTAGTTCAGTGGTTGTCATTGGTTCATGTCTGTCATATTTGTTTTTCCTAAATTGTTTTGTTATAAATTAGGCAGTTAGTTTTCTCAATTGAATTGTTTCATATTTTTCATGTCTGGACCTTTTATAGCCGACTATACAGTATGGGTTTTCTCATTGTTGAAGGCCGTACTGTTGCCTATAATTGCGTAAATCCACTTCATTTGAACTTTGGTGGATAGTTGTCTCATTGGCAATCATACCACATCCCCTTATTTTTATATACAATGTAACAATAAGATTTCCAGCTTTATAATGGAGTTGAATAAAGGCCCTCCTTCTGCTGCTAGTACAATTGTATATCTTTTGGTTCTAAAGGGAAGGATTATTTTTAAATCCCAACTGTGAGTTAGACTAATATATCTACTCATTTCTGAGTCATCTGTGTGTCCCTATGTCCATCAAGGTTCATCCTGGTAAGCCAAGTTAGCTTGATATACATTGTTCTTTGATTACATTTAAAAATGTTACTATTCTTCAGAAGACACAGAGAGAACTGATTCTCACTGATTCTGGTGTTTCACAGATAGATATTTTGAAATCTCCCAGTAAAAACTCCCATCTAGGTGTAGTTAATGGTTTGTTGATGGCAGGTACAAGAACGCATGATTTTAAGGTCTGACAGGACATGTGTAATTACAGGTCGACTTTAATTTAAGAATGTCTTACTATACAAATCCTTGTTTTAAAGTTGAAAATTCTCCAAATTCCCTCTCTAGATTTTGGGAGAGTTGCTGGTATTTTTGGTGTGACATCTAGATTTTACACAGTTGAGTATGAGAATCTGTACTCCCTGTCTTTACTGTACATCTGATCATACAAAATGCTCTTAGATAAATTTGTCACAATTTCTCATCACCAACAAACTGCAGCAGCTCCTTAATATTTGGTGCCCAGCTTTTTCAAGGTCAGCAGATTTAATTTTGACCATGCTTATTAAGAAGAAAGAAAAAAATAGAGATTAATAATTTTATGTTTAATACATGTGAAAAATTTTATCAGGATATAACTTGTGTAAGAGGTTTTTGAATTACATTTTAGTCCACTCTTTGTAACCTGGAAAATAGGCAGCAATCGTCGTCTGCGTGGTTGTATTGGAACATTCACAGCTACTAACCTACATGGTGGTCTCAGGGAATATGCAGTTACAAGGTACTGTTCAACATTTGATAATGAATTGACTTAAAGTAGCTCTAAAAAATGACTACATGTATGTATTTATCATGTTTATTATAAGTTGGTTTTTGATTGTAATCAATATGTCTTTTTTTGATTGAATTTTCTATATATTTACATGAAAATGCAATCACTATACATCAGCAGATTAAATTATCAGCCTACCTTTTAATGCTACATGTATTAATAAAAGACCACTGAATTTAATATAATATTTAATCTGAATCCAGTGATCATCACAGAATATTTAAAGAGTAGGGCAAGAAGAACATACTGGTACACCCAAAAATAGGTTTAGAGAATAAAAAAATACAGCACAATTTAGTAAAAACTTGTAACCCTAAAGTTGAAGGGTAACACTTCACACCCACTAATTGAAATGGACTTTATTTTTGTGACCAATATTCCAGTTCTTATATCCATAGGATAATTTTAAGTTGGAACTTTAATATCAAGAGAGATAAAAAAAAAATAGCAAGATGAAAGAGAAAAAAAACTTGGCCCAGTGAAATGCACCTTTTACTCTTGAATAGGCTATAATTACATTATCTCTGGAAACAATAGCAACACTAGGATAAGGTCAAAGAAAATACTGAGAATAAAAAAAACCAATGAATTTCATTATTTCAGGTGAATAATTTGTTGAATCTTTTAAGCTTTTTTTTATTGTATTTTACAATATTGTCTGACATTTTTGCATTCCAGTGCAATGAAAGACAGTCGATTCAGTCCCATCACTAAAGAGGAGTTCAACAAATTGCACTGTTCTGTATCAATACTCACAAACTTTGAGGAAGCCAGGGACTATTTAGACTGGGAGGTAATTATTTATATTTACAATATGAGTACAAGGTACCAGTAGAATTGAGAGTTAAACACTGGGATTGATTTTCAAGTGGGATAGGATGGAACCTTGCAGTTATTGCTACTGCATTTTGTTTAATATGCAAGTTAACTAGAATTACGTAAGAAATCAATATTGATATAGAAATCAAAATGAGTTTGATTTAACAACCAAAATTTGATTTGATATGCTGGAGGAAAAAAACAATTGGGGAAAACATGCCTTGCTTGTGCAAATTTATTTCCTTGCTTCCATGATGTCTCATTTGTTATGCGAGGCAGGATTGCTCAATTATACACATTTCTGCTAGAGGCTAAATCATATATGCAATTGCATGAATTCAAAAATAATCATATATATATGAGATAACATGTACGCAGATGGAGGCAAATAAACCCACACACCTACGTTTGCAGTGTGCATGCTAAATTGGTGATCAATCAAGCATCATTTATAATCAAGAGCTTGTGGTGAGGACATGGTTTGATAACCTTTAACTGTCATACTTAATGCCTAGCTCATATTAATTGATTAGATAAAAATGCCATCATAAATAAACATATCAATTGAAAATACGTGTACAATGTATGCATCAATTTTGTACAAATATGAAATTACTAATTATAGAATTATTTCAGTGAGCATTTTTTAAGCTCACTTTGCCTAAAAGGCCAGGTGAGCTCTCGTCATCACTTGGTGTCTGTCATTAATTTTTTATACGACCGCAAACAAATTTTTGTGGTCGTATATTGGTATGACGTTGGCGTCGTCGTCGTCCGAAGACACATTAGTTTTCGCACTCTAACTTTAGTTTAAGTAAATGGATCTCAATGAAATTTTACCATAAGGTTCAATACCTCAAAAGGAAGGTGGGGATTGATTTTGGGGGTTATGGTACCAACAGTTAAGGAATTAGGGGCCAAAAAGGGACCAAAAATAAGCATTTTTGTAACTTCCAGACATAACTTGTGTGTAAGTGTATGGATCTCTCTGACATTGTACCACAAGGTTCCATATCTCAAAGGGAATGCTGGGATTGATTTTGGGGGTAATTGCCTCCAAATTTTAGGAATTAGGGGCCAAAAAGGGGCAAAAAACAAGCATTTTCTAGTTTCATGACAATAACTTGTGTGTTAGTGTATGGATCTCTCTGACATTGTATCACAAGGTTCCATATCACAAAGGGAATGCTGGGATTGATTTTGGGGGTAATTGCCTCCAAATTTTAGGAATTAGGGCCAAAAAGGGGCAAAAAACAAGCATTTTCTAGTTTCATGACAATAACTTGTGTGTTAGTGTATGGATCTCTCTGACATTGTATCACATGGTTCCATATCACAAAGGGAATGCTGGGATTGATTTTGGGGGTAATTGCCTCCAAATTTTAGGAATTAGGGGCCAAAAACGGGCAAAAAACAAGCATTTTCTAGTTTCATGACTATAACTTGTGTGTTAGTGTATGGATCTCTCTGACATTGTATCACAAGGTTCCATATCACAAAGGGAATGCTGGGATTGATTTTGGGGGTAATTGCCTCCAAATTTTAGGAATTAGGGGCCAAAAAGGGGCAAAAAACAAGCATTTTTCTAGTTTCATGACAATAACTTGTGTGTAAGAGTATGGATCTTTATGAAATTGTACTACAAGGTTCCATATCACAAAGGGAAAGCTGGAAATGAGTTTGGGGGTAATTGACCAAAAAGCTTAGGAAGAAGGGGCCAAAAATAAGCATTTTTCTAGTTTCCAGACAATAACTTGTGTGTAAGTGTATGGATCTCTCTGAAATTGTACTGCAAGGTACCATACCACAAAGGGAAGGCTGGGATTGATTTTGGGGGTAATTCCCTCAAAATTTTATGAATTAGGGGCCATAAAAGGGCAAAAAAACAAGCATTTTTCTAGTTTCAGGACAATAACTTGTGTGTAAGTGTATGGATCTTTATGAAATTGTACTACAAGGTTCCATATCACAAAGGGAAAGCTGGAAATGAGTTTGGGGGTAATTGACCAAAAAGCTTAGGAAGAAGGGGCCAAAAATAAGCATTTTTCTAGTTTCTAGACAATAACTTGTGTGTAAGTGTATGGATCTCTCTGAAATTGTAATGCAAGGTACCATACCACAAAGGGAAGGCTGGGATTGATTTTGGGGGTAATTCCCTCAAAATTTTATGAATTAGGGGCCATAAAAGGGAAAAAAAACAAGCATTTTTCTAGTTTCAGGACAATAACTTGTGTGTAAGTGTATGGATCTTTATGAAATTGTACTGTAAGGTTCCATATCACAAAGGGAAAGCTGGGTTTGAGTTTGGGGGTAATTGCTCTAAACGTTTAGGAATTTGGGGCCAAAAAGGGGCCAAAAAACAAGCATTTTTCTAGTTTCCAGACAATAACTTGTGTTCAAGTGTATGGATCTCTCTGAAATTGTACTGCAAGGTACCATACCACAAAGGGAAAGCTGGGATTGAGTTTGGGGGTGATGAATCATAAGGGGGTTCAAAAAATTTGGGGGGGGATTTTTGTTTCCTTTTTTTTCTTTAGAATTTTCCATTTTAAATTGGTTATTTCTGATTTATATATAAAAGCAAATAATGGTTTGAATATAGTAAATTAAAAATTTTTAAGTTCTTAGACCACTTTCATTCTGTGTCAGAAACCTATGCTGTGTCAAATATTTAATTACAATCCAAATTCAGTGCTGTATCAAGCTTGAATGTTGTGTCCATACTTGCCCCAACTGTTCAGGGTTCGACCTCTGTAGTCGTATCAAGCTGCGCCCCAGCGGAGCATTTTATTAAACAAATATCTTTGTCAGTTATATGTAAAAATATCAGGTGAGCAATACAGGCTCCTTGTACTAAGCCTTTAGTTCATTGATTAAATTGTGTTCTAATTGCCACAATTAATAATAGAGAATTACAAATGTATAAACTCCATGGTAATCCGGTACATGTATATTGAAAAAATCAATGTCCATTTATACTGGCACCTTTAATGCAAAAATTAAATCAGTGTTAACACATTTTTCCCCTGATTAAGAAGACAGACATGCAAGATTAAAGTCAAGGGATTTGGAACCCCTCGATTCTTCAGATGGGTTTGAAATTGCACAAAAATCTGTGGAAATAATGTTGGATCTCTCCCCTTTTACAATATTTCATGACAATTCTTTATTTTCTATAGTTTTCAGAGTCTTTCAGTAATTTTAGAATAAGTAATCTTAAAATACTACTATTAATTATCTCTTGAGTTCGAATAATTTATTCAGACTACAAGGGAAGGGCAGGGCTACTGTGAATTAACCTCTATTTCAACCATTATGCGGCCACCATCAATAAACTCATTTTTCTGCTACTTTTGGATGCTTATGTAAATAATTAATAAGGAAAAACTGACGATTGTGCTATACATATTATATACAGTGAAAATAAAAACATCAAGGGCCCGCGGTAGTAAAACTTTACTCAGTACTTGGAGTAGGTACAAGATTTCTACTCTAAAGACCAAATCCATAATTTTGATTGGTTGATTTCTGAGCATGAGTACGATAATCATGCTCGAAAGTTTTATGACCATAAGGCCTGGACGGTGGTCTAGATTGTCTCATGTAGGTGATTCTTGAAACATTCAAGACTTCCAGCACTGGTGGTGGCATGTGGTAGGGCATTCAGTTAAACTAATTTAATTAGACCACTTGGGCAATTGTTATTATAGAAATTGTATAAAATTAATGAATTTATAATTTTATGATGAGAGAATGGTAAGATTAAGAAAGAAGATGAGGTCTTGCCTTCAAATGAGAAATATTAAGAACTAAGCAAACAACCAAACAAGTCTGTTTTGGTAATATGAAAGACCTACGCTATGGATTTTTAGGGGGAAGGAAATAGTTAATGGTAAGCGAAGGTAATTAGAGAACCACCACATACTATAGACACCAGCAAGGGTGACTTAAGTATAAAAATATGGTAAAATGGACTAGAATGGTCCATTCCGAGAGGGGAGGAAGGCATCTGTGTGGCTGCTTTTTTTTAAACATTGGAACTATTGTTCCAATCCTTTCTTAGGCATAAGCCTCACTAACAAGGATGTAGCAATCATGTTAGCCATTGAAATTATGTACACTGCAATATTGTTCCAAATACTCCTCATGGCTATTTTACATTGTGATCTGCACAAATGAAATGTGAAAAATTTTGGGTTAAATCCTTAGAACAGTTTATTGAAGTATGCATGTGATTAGTTTTGTTAGTTTGCTGGCTAGTTAAGTCATGTACTGATATACCAGTATGATTGACAATTGTCATGATCAACAAACAATATGAGACAAAAGGGGGAGTTTTAATTGGAAACCCCTCCTCTTTAATGCTAATCCTAATTGACCAATTGCCTAACTTTTGTCTTACATAATTAAGCACTCAAATACACAACTTAATACCCAATTCTTGACATAATATTATGTTAGATGTTTACCTTTGTCTTTTGTTCTAGTCACCACTTAAAATTATTTTGTAAATCATCACTCAAAAGTGAATGATTAAAGATGAATTAGTCTGTATCAAATCAAAGACAAAAAATAAAAACCTATATAAATAAAACAATGCAAGATGGGTCTATTTTACTTGTACTATCATCAGTTATATGCTTGAAACAATAAGCAAAATAATTAAATTCTAGTGAGCCACAGACAGACATTGTCACACATTTAGCTCATTTTATCTACAGAAAAATTCTTTTCCAAGAACTGTAGTAAGGCAACTATTGTGCAATAAATCGTATTTCAAGTTTTTCCACCACCACACATATCAGGGGTGTAGCTAGGTATTAAAACAACTGTAAAAATTGCGGCAGGGAATCTGGGGGCCGCTTAAGGCGCCCAGAAGGTCAGGACAGAGCCCTGGTAGGAGTTTCAGGGGGGGTGGCTTCCCCGGATAACGATTTTCGGCATTTTTAGTTGCAAATTTTGTGTACAAATAAC